CCAAGCACCACACAGCAGCTAGAGCAACAATATCTAATCAAGTTGCCAAGTTTGAATGGGCAGCGTGGCAGATACGCTTCCTCCCCAGTTTTTCGAGGGAAACTAGTTGTGTTTGCATTGACATTTGGTCGTCGGAGGCCATTGGCACGTTGCCTTTGCATTCGAATTAACAGATATTTTTGGCACCCTGGTGGAGTCTGTGTTTCCCCTCACCTGATTTTATCCAGCTCTCCTGTGTGCCCGACAAAAGGTGAGTCAGGTGATTTCTACTTTGCTGCTTTTGGCTCGAACTAATCTCGGCACATTGCAATTTGGCGAGGAATGCTCAATGCTGATTGCAATTGCCCAGGATTTGAGAGAAAAGAAAAACGGAAAAGATAACGCCTTAAACAAAAATTGATGAACATTTTTTTTGCCGAACATCGATTTCATAGCCACAAAAACAATATCCAATGTTCAAATAAAACAAGGCAAATCACTCTTCAAAAATTCCTATTTGGAAATAAACTACACAGAAAGCAAAGCACTGCAATAGATAGTTAAAAATAATTGGTAAAAGTATTATTCTTTATTATTATTTGGTTATATATGTAAATCCCAACGCACAAATAAAGCAAATAATCCTTAAATGCACAAATGCAAATCAATACCTAAACGACCAAAATCATTTCCTTTTCTTTACTTGTTAAATGAGATGTAAATGAGAAAGCCTCGCATTATAGTTAATTCTTTTCAGTGTAAGATCTATTTCACACGTAAAATAATACTCTAAAAAATCAGAGAAGAGCTCAGGGATAACATACAAATCGAGTACTAAAATCAAATTCAGACGACGAGGGTCTAGGACAAAGAAACGATTTCTACAAAATTTTAATTAACAAACCAATTAGTTTTGTGTTATTTGAAATAAAAAGATGGGATAAGAGAAAGGCAAAATCAACTCGTTGCCAAAGTTATAAAAACAAGACAGCAAAGGAAAACAATGGCAAACAAACAGCATTGACCCAAATCAACTTGAAAGGGAAGCATGTAAAAAGCAAATACGTAACGAAGGCGTAGATACCGATTCAGATACGGATACGTATATGGATAGAAGATGAGGGAACTCGAGAGAAGTTCAAGCTTAACCGCAGGCCACAAGCTTTGGATCCGTTTTCCACATTGCAGCAGTCTATACGGCAATTTAGATAAACTTGTTCTTGCCGTTTTTGTTGGCCATGTTTGTGTTGTTTTTGTTGTTGTTGTTATCCTGGCATTGACCAGGCCAAAAGCAGCAGCAGATGCTCACCGCAAAAAGGCAAAAGTCAAGCCCTGAATGCAGGTCCTTGCGAGTTCATAAAACGACAATCTACTCGCATGGCAAAATAAAAGAAAAAACTCGGCAAATTTGAGCAGTAATCGACAGAGGTTGAAAAGAAAGGGGGGTTGTAGCCAAAGGGATCGGGATTGCAGGTTAGACCACAGGACTTTGATTAGACCTTTGACCTGTGCTCGGTTTTTTTTCTTGCTTCTGGCAAAAATTGAAAGTGAAAAGGTTACTTCGCTGACTTTTCTCAAGTATGGGGGAGAAGTATTTTGGATTTAAAATAAAATCGATTTTGTGTAATTTGGAAGGTTATTGAATCAGATTTAAATTGGTTTCGCAAAAAATATACAACAAAAATCTCATTCAAAAGCACAATTCTAAATTTATGTAGACAGCTTATAAATAAAGATATATTTCTTATATATGTATATCTTATATATTTTAACATTTTCTCTATTAATAAATACTCAATGAAATCATATGGTTAATCAAAAAACATATTCTTTGTCTTTTTCAGGTAACTATATTTCTGGAAAATTAATCAAGCCCGATGAAATTATGTAAAGCTGGCGAAACTGCCTCATCACGAGCTAATGAGACTCCCAGCTCCTCGGACCGCCGTTCACATCATCAACGGCCTGAAATCACCGTCCTTTCCCTTATTTTCCCTTGCACCTCAAAAACCGCCGCAGATTGCACGTGAAATTCGCAAATTATGCAATTAACCCATTTCCAGCGAGATGGCCACATAAAAGGTAACTGCAAGGCAGTTCCAAGCCAAATGAAGTGTGCTCGTGTGTGTGGGCACGGATATTGCGCGCCTTTTTACTTTAAATAGCCGCAGGCAGGCAAATCTTTTTCATAAATTCTCACGGCAACTTTTTGGCCAAGGCCCAGGAAAAATCCACCGCAGAAACAATGGAGGCGAAGGCAGCCAGCCAAAGGAGAGGGAATCTCGGTTAAATTCAAACTGACGCTGCAATTAAGCATAATGTCCTTGCAGGGATAACGTTAAGTGGCGCGTGAAATTACATTAATCATTGAAGGGATATTTACATGCAACGACGAAGGAGCCAACCGCAAAGGCTGTTGCACTTGAAGGTCCTTCCCACCATCTCCTTTTCGTCCTTTTTTATCCTTTCTGTTTGAGCGGTGGGCGGTTTGGGTGGCTGTGAGTCCTGGTCAAACAGAAGCTTATTTTGTGGGCATTTCTCCGACCTTTTTTTCGTGTTTGTTTTTGGCAACCAGCGAAGGGAATGAGTTGGCAACGGAAAAAAGGTAATTTTTAAGGACTACAAAGGTCGGAGGTGGTGTGTAAAGCTGACCAAAACGAATGTGTTCGAAATGTTACTTAAACTAATGAAATTAAAACTTCTCAACCAGACGGGGATAAAGAATGAAAATATTGGCAATCGCTCGGTTAATTTTTTTTACTCTAAACATATTTACAAATTATCAACAAAGGTGAATTTAAAGAACTTAACAATCACAAATTTAACCCATGCCTCACTGTTAAAGAATAAATGTATTCCTCTGTATTAAAGTTTGTCTATATTAAAGTACGAAAACAGGCGCAATCCCATGTAGTTAACGAGAATCATCTGGTTCTGAATTTAAACAAAATTGAATTGTTTGCATTACATGCGGATATGGAGTTATTGATGTTTGCAATTTAGATTTCGTACATTCAGAAACACATTTCCACAGTTGAGATTCCATTTGTAAACATTTTTGCAATCATTCATTCTTCAATTTCACAAATTGGCCCTCAAAATGTAGGCAGAATATGGCTATCCCCATTCCCATTTTCCACAGACATGCTGCACACACTACTCTAGCGGCATAATCAAATTTTGCAGGCAGGCAACAATTTCATTTTTTGGGCCACGCCTTTTCACGGCCCTCCATTTCGTTCAGCTGTCCTTACTTCATATTTTTTGCGAGCCCTTTTCAGGCCACGAATTCGGGTAATAGAGAGTGGGCGGCACTCCGGCTCCCAAAACTCAGTTAGGAACGAAGCCCTTGAACTATGCAAATTTCTGAAATGAAACTGGGGAAAAAGGGGTGGCAACGGAACACAACGCATGATGCAAACTTTAATTGCCGCGAATTCTGCTGCGGGAATGGATTTTTTGGCGGCTGTAACTTGATAATTGATTGCTCAAAGTAAGCGAAGACACGAGGGGTGTGCACACCCCAAAGGGGGTTAACAAGAAGGGCTTTTGATCAAAGCAACTCGTTCTGCCCGTCAAGCAGAATTTCATTTTGCACTTCCCCCAAAGGAAAGGCAAACACATTTCAATTAGCGCTTCCCCTTCCTAATGAAAGTGCAGCCCCAAAACAAATGCGCAGGGGTTATTTCTATATCGCCATCAGATTTGCTGCCACTTGCAGTTTTTAAGCTGTGGAAATCTGCATTTTTTGGAATTACATGAAGGGATACAACTGACATGCCAAAATATAAAACAAAATGAAATAAAATAAAACCTACATGTATTCCAGACTATTTACCATTCTAAAGGGAGAAGATAAATCCATGTTAAATAAATATTAATGTTTATGCAACCAGAATTATTATTGATATCTCTGACAGTCAACACATGAAATAGTTTGATAAATAAACTTTGAATAAAAGGGGAACGAACATTTGGGATTAGTTAACAAAATAAACTTTGAATTGGAGTAAATATGGAGTATTTAAAGATTAAAAAAAGTTACCATTTGATGCGAAAATTTAAAGGATTCAAAAATGGAAGAAAAAAAATTTGTTTAAATGTATTAGAAAACTATTTAAATTCAATTAAAATAAAATATTATCAATTATTAATATCAATAAAACGGTTAAAAATGTATAGTAATTTAAAAATACATTTTTCCAAGATGGGATAAAATAACTGCTTTAATTTGATAATTGGCTTTCTAGTCAATACAATTTTAATTAATTTTCGTTAAAGTGTTTTTGCGGAAACCACATTTAGAAAGAGTTTAAACCCTATTTAATCATTTTGGAACTTTTTCTTGAAGCGAATTGAAATGCAAATGCGCCCACCACTGGCTGAAGTTCCACACATAAACAGAAGGGGCTTTTAAATGCAGTTTACCTCTCCTATTTTCCCCTTTTCACTGCTTTTGAGAGGCCTCTGGCAAAAATGTACTTGTGCCCATATGCGAACTTCATTTGTAGTTGCTGCTGACTTTGGCTTAGGAAAGAAAACATTTGCGGGTCTCCGCTTGATGATGACGTTGATGTCGTTGCTGTTGTTGTTGACAAAGCATAAAGTGCAGCGTGTTATAGGGAGGACCACCTGGTCCACACACATAAAACAGCATGGAAAAAGAGAGTTTTTATTATGTCACACAAGTGCTTCCTATGACACACAACTTCCTGGTTAAGATGCAGGACGAAATCACAAAAAAGAGTGCAGTAAAAGCAAAGGTGAAACAAGGACAGCTTCTTGTTTGTTGGTGAAAGTGCACTTAGGAAAAAATTCTACATCTTGGGAAAAGTTTTTATTCACATAAGCAACCATAAAACTTTAAAAATATTTTAAATTTAACTATTTAACATTGCCGTAAGTAAACACAAAAGTTTAGAAAGCGATGGAAGGGGTTCCAAAACCGGTTCATTTAACCTAAACACCACTGACCCATTATGGTATAGACACGCAACAGAGTTGAAAAGAACGAATCCATCTCCTCTATCACAAACAATGTTCTTTATTTATGCCATATCTTTTTTAGTTGAGCAGAGCTACTTGCTTACGGAACAGAATGTAAATAAACATGGCGAATGCAAATGGTAAATGCAAATGTCTGGAAAAATCGAATATGCTTTTATACTTAAATAAGATGATAAGGATCCGTACATAGAGGCTGCCTTCAAACCAGTTTAATCGGTGGCATCGGCCTTGGCCTCCGGGACGGGGATGCTGCCGCTGTTGGCGATGACCACATCCTTGATGGGAAGACCGGAGGCATAGGTGGGCAAGTTCTCGATCTGGCGCACCACATTCATGCCCGACAGGATCTTGCCGAAGAAGACTGGGCGTTCGCCTACCAAGCTGATCTCCTTGGTGTTGATGAAGAACTTACCATCGTTGTCCATGAACAGCCAGCCGGCGTCGTATTCCCTCAGCTTGGTGTTCTCATTTTCATCATCGTAGTCATCATCGTACACGTTGAGTGGGGGTCTTTCAGTGCCGTATCCACCACCCTTAATCATTAAGCCCTTTCTAATGAAGTGGAACATGCTGCCCTTGTAGCTGCATGGAAAACAAAAATATTTGATTGTCAGTAAGATGATTTAAGACTATGTAGATACCGGCATTTAACAAATTATTATTTTAATTTGTTGTTGAAATATCATAAATATATAAATAAGATAAATTTATTGCAAAGCGGTGTGATTTGAGCCCGGAATTTAGTAACCAGAGGCCATCAGATATGAACAATTTGTATATGTATATGTATGTATTTTTAAGCAAGGTTTTCTGATGTTTGGGGGATTACGATGAGTCTAGAGAGTGGACTTTGTTAACCCATTAGTCTTAACTATTCCCGAGATTCGCTCTGTCAGCGGATGATTGGTCGCTTTAACGCCATGTAATTCCTTCAATCTAAGAGCCCCGCTATAACCTATGTATGTATAAACGGTAAAGCTGTGCTGGTGTGCGAGTGCCGCTAATCGGCGGCAAACTTTTGGGAGCGTAGCGGTACAAGGTACCCTCCAACCCCCCGGTACTCACCCTTCGCCCGCGGGCTTCAGCGCCTGCTCCCGGAAGATCTTCACCGTTTTCGGAACGGTCTTGCCGAACAAGCCGATTTCGATGCGACCTGTGGGCTTGCCGTCAATGGTGATGTCAAAGAAAACCTATGCAAACAAAATTAATGTATTATTAACAATCATCTTACTTGATTTATTGCCAAGCGGGTGTGTGTGTGAGTGCGAGGGAGATGGTGTTTAAGTATACAAAATACTGGAAAGTACGAAAACAAAGGAGCACCTACCTTCTCAGTCACTTTGGGCCCTTTGCTGTCATCGGCAACGGCAATTCCGGCCACCAGGGCCACCACGCACACGGATAAAAACAACTTCATTGTTCCAGAAATTCCCGGCGATTGAATTAATTTCTGTTGTAGAACTGCCGAGCCAGAAAATGTGACCAGGTGGAGGCGTGGGTGCCACAAAAGCCTGCCTTTTTGATATTTCTGACTAATTCCGTTTTGGTCACACTTTCCTGGCGAAAAATCTGAAATTTAGCGATGGTTCAAACCAATTAATTTGTATAACAACAAACAGATAACTAAGTTAGTTAAGGTTAATAAGCTTTTGTAGTTATACAAATAATCTATTACCACTAACCATACAACATATAGACTGGTCATTTCATACAACGAAATAATTCTGTAGCCCCCCGGACACTTCGTGTGCGTTCGGGTTCTTGCGCTCTCATTCTTAATCTTTTGATGCTCGATGCACTCATTGCACGAGTTCAGTCGTTTAGTCGCAAAGACGCGCATTTTGAAGAAGGTTGCGCCTGCGCTTGAATTGGTCTTTATATGTATGCGTGTTCATGCATTCTCATACAGGGGTGCACGCATACATATAAAGACCAATTCAAGCGCAGGCGCAACCTTCTTCAAAATGCGCGTTTCTGCGACTGAACTCGTGCAATGAGTTGCTTAGAGCCCGGAGGATTGTCGCTACAGAATTTTTTTGTCCATTTTAATTGTATGAAATGACCAGTCTATATGTTGTATGGTTAGTTGTGGTATTTATTTTCGGAATGTTAATGAACAAGAAAGGAAAGCTAACTTCGGGCGGAGCCGAAGTTGAAATACCCTTGCAGAATATTCTGCAAATTATATTCTCCAGAATTATTCATGATGCATTCTTAGTACTCATAAAAAATCCCAACTTCCTAACTTTAATAACACCAAAGTTATGGCATTTCCAATCGTTCAGTTATATGACAACTATAGAATATAGTCGGCCGATCCTTATGAAATTTGATATGTCGTATTGATTGGGCAAAAATAAAACCCATAGAAAGTCCCAACTTCCTAACTTAACAAACACCAAAGTTATGGCATTCCCGATCAATCAGTTATATGGCAGCTATAAGATATAGTCGGCCAATCCTTATGAAATTTGGTAGGTCGGATTAATTGGCCAAATATAAAACCCATAGAAAATCCCAACTTTCTAACTTTACAAACACTAAAGTTATGGCATTTCCGATCAATCAGTTATATAGCAGCTATAGGATATAGTCGGCCGATCCTTATGAAATTTGGTACGTCGTATTGATTGGCCAAATATAAAACCCATAGAAAGTCCCAACTTCCTAACTTAACAAACAGCAGAGTTATGGCATTTCCGATTAATCAGTTATATGGCAGCTATAGGATATAGTCGGCCGATCCCGGCCGTTCCGACTTATATACTGCGTGCAAAGGAAAGAAGGGTGTGTGCAAAGTTTGAATTCGATATCTTTAAAACTGAGAGACTAGTTCGCGTAGAAACAGACAGACGGACAGACAGACGGACAGACGGACAGACGGACAGACGGACAGACGGACAGACGGACATGGCTATATCAACTCAGGAGGTGATCCTGATCAAGAATATATATACTTTATAGGGTCGGAGATGTCTCCTTCACTGCGTTGCACACTTTTGACCAAAATTATAATACCCTCTGCAAGGGTATAAAAAGAGTCTCGCAAGCTCTTGGTAAGTATTTACCATTAAGGGATTTATATTTATTGATAAATGATTTCAGAATGTGAATGTGGACCCACCTCTTCCTAATGACTTTGGAGTTCAGAAAATAAAATTATTCAATGGAATGGAGGCAGTGTAGAAAACTCAGAAAACGAGGACAATTTGTTCGAGTTGATCACTTTTAACCGTCAAATTCCTAAGAATGAGGAAGGAGATTCTGATACTTTCTTAAATGATGTCATCTTTTTAGATTCTGACTATGATATCTCAGAAATCGAGACTGATGATTCCGCTTATTTTTACATTTTTTTTATCAAATAGCAACAAATATTTAAAGACTTTCTTTGTCAGATTTACTCTAGATCTGATAAAAGAGTCTATTATGCACGATGCTGAATAACAAACAAATTGAATTCTTGGAGCAAAAGCAAATACTTTATATCGTGAGAAGGAATCGGGATTTAATCATATTGTTTTGAAAAAAAAAAGAAAACAATGAAAACCCATCACTAAAAGTTTAAAAAAAATCCATTATAAAAAGTATTTAACTCAAAAAACCAAACTGATAAATTAATGACAATGTATTAAAAGTTTAAAAAATTTATTGGTGAAGCTTATTTTAAACATGTCAATTCGGTAAAGAGGGGCTTAACAAGTATTTTTAGTAAAGAATCACTTATGAAAAAATTTGGGGATACTACAAATTTTCTTTCATTTTCGCTAATCAGAAATAAGATAACATAAAAGCTAGTTTCATCAGTTCGGTGCAAAATCGGTCATTTTTAAAGAATTTTTATGGGCGATACGGATAGTCTCAGCTCCGGCGCCGCCTCGACGAAAACACTTTTTACGGTGAACACGATAATTGTGACAGAATCATCTCAAATGAAAAAAATCAAATTGCATTAGTTAGAGGACAAGATTCCTCAGGTAACGCTGTCAATTTTTTATTTTTTTCGATTTTTTAAGGCACTAAAAACACCGATTTTCGCCCAAAACGTCGAGATATTTGTTGCTCCAAAAATACAAAATTAAAAAAAAAAAAACTCGACAGCGTTACCTGAGGAATTTAGTAGAGAAATACTGTGCAAAATCTCAAAACGATCCGTCCGCTAGATTTTGAAGGATCGTGTACACCGACTTTGAAATGGAAACTTTTCAGAAGAGCGTTTTAAAGTTTCAGCATCACCAGGAGAGTTTATATAGCCATGTCCGTCTGTCCGTCCGTCCGTCCGTCTAGATCGACTCTCCTGGTGATGCTGATCAAGAATATCTATACTTTAAAGGGTCGGAAATGTCTCCTCCACTGCGTTGCAAACTTTGACTGAAATTACAATACACTATGCAATACACTATATTAATCGGACAACGATATTATATAGCTACCATAGAAACGATGGCCAAATGCAGCGCAAAATCGACATAGCTTCATTGTTATACCCTTGCAGAGGGTATTATAATTTTGGTCAAAAGTGTGCAACGCAGTGAAGGAGACATCTCCGACCCTATAAAGTATATATATTCTTGATCAGGATCACCTCCTGAGTTGATATAGCCATGTCCGTCTGTCCGTCTGTCCGTCTGTCCGTCTGTCCGTCTGTCCGTCTGTCTGTCCGTCTGTCTGTTTCTACGCGAACTAGTCTCTCAGTTTTAAAGATATCGAATTCAAACTTTGCACACACCCTTCTTTCCTTTGCACGCAGTATATAAGTCGGAACGGCCGGGATCGGCCGACTATATCCTATAGCTGCCATATAACTGATTAATCGGAAATGCCATAACTCTGCTGTTTGTTAAGTTAGGAAGTTGGGACTTTCTATGGGTTTTATATTTGGCCAATCAATACGACGTACCAAATTTCATAAGGATCGGCCGACTATATCCTATAGCTGCTATATAACTGATTGATCGGAAATGCCATAACTTTAGTGTTTGTAAAGTTAGAAAGTTGGGATTTTCTATGGGTTTTATATTTGGCCAATTAATCCGACCTACCAAATTTCATAAGGATTGGCCGACTATATCTTATAGCTGCCATATAACTGATTGATCGGGAATGCCATAACTTTGGTGTTTGTTAAGTTAGGAAGTTGGGACTTTCTATGGGTTTTATTTTTGCCCAATCAATACGACATATCAAATTTCATAAGGATCGGCCGACTATATTCTATAGTTGTCATATAACTGAACGATTGGAAATGCCATAACTTTGGTGTTATTAAAGTTAGGAAGTTGGGATTTTTTATGAGTACTAAGAATGCATCATGAATAATTCTGGAGAATATAATTTGCAGAATATTCTGCAAGGGTATTTCAACTTCGGCTCCGCCCGAAGTTAGCTTTCCTTTCTTGTTTTTAGTAATGTAATAATATAAATCGAAATGTAGTCATTTTGTAATAACTGCAAGGGTATAAAAACTTCGGCTTGCCGAAGTTTACTTCCTTTCTTGTTTTGCAACTAAAAATAAAGAAACATTTGAAACTTTTAAATTAGGATCATCAGAAAAGTTAATTAAGGTATTATTTAATTGATTTAAATTGTACATTATTTATAACCAACCATTAAAACAGAGTGTAAAAAATATACCTTAACTTTTTTTTATTTTAACTACTTTTTAATTTTGATTTTAAAATTTTTAATTTTACTTATTATTTGTATTCCCTTCGGTTTTAGTAAACTTTAATGTATAATTGCAAGCCTGAGCAACGGCTTAGAAAAATAAAAGAGTCAATTATGAGACGTACGCCTTCTGGGCTGTAAAGTTTTTGGCTCCCTTTGCCTCTTAAGAACTTGTAGCTGATATGAATTTTGAGGCTGATTCCGGGGAAAAGTTGGAAGGAAACTTTAAATTTCTTGCCAGCGAGTTATCAATTGCCAGCACACGAGCTCTTGAGGCGAGCTCGAGTCGTTCCGCATGGCGTATACTTAATCCCGACTCGGGCGACTACAAGAAGCTTTTCCACACTCACTTAACCCATTCCCTAGCGTCACCCCCTCCCCCTCCCCCACCAATCAGCGACCACACGAAATTCGAAACATTCTCAACTGCTACTTACATAATTGCCAACGCTCCGAAATCCTTTCGTCCTTCTTCGACCTAAACTGTTGCCAAATTCCCGCCGAACTTCATCAAAATTCCAATTAGCGCTTACACTCAATTACAAGGCGCAAGGCAGCTGCCACGCCCACTCGGCAGGGCGGGCAAAAGCAAATACAAAATACAAATACACAACACAGAACCACAAAACACAGCGCGAGTACATTAAAAACTTTTCCACGAAAATTGCCAAAGATTTTCGGGGTGGAAAGAGTTTTGGCAAATAGAAATAGGAAATGGAAAGTTTTCGGAGTGGGGGAATCCAAAATGGGAAAGCTCCTTTGTTGCGCCTTGTTAAAATCGTTTGGCAACATTTTAAAG